TTTGAAAAATTGGAGAAGACTTGACCCCCGTGTGAAGCTGATTTGATCCTTTTTTGATGACATGCATTTTCACACATATCCCTGGATCAAGTGTGTCCAAGCTTTTAGGGATCAAGTCTTCTTAAATTAAGTGATCACATTTTCATACATATTTCGGGATCAAGAGTGACCAAACTCGCGGGGATCAACTCTCCCAAACTACGTTTTCAACTTCAATTTGATCTGAACAAACTAAATAGCACTAATCCGATTACTACACTTTATTCTACTTATTCAAAGCTCTATGTTGTGAAAATTTCACACGTTTGGTTTTAAAACTCAAATAGTTATTAAACATTTTCTTTCTGAAAGTTTATGATAGTGAAAATATAAAAACCACTATCGAAAATATATGTGTTGTTCAAACTGATGGAAATGTCACCATAATATATTTTAAAAATGAACATAGTCAAATTTAATTTATATGAGTTTAATGTATTTCATGTTAAGCTATATAATTTTTCATAGATATCAATTAAGAGATCGGGTGCGACCCCAGCGTAGTGATTAGCATCCATACCTCTCACGCCAAAATCACGAGTTCAAATCTCACCCCCAGACAATTCACGAATGACTCGAATGTTAAAGTGACTATAATAAAAAAAATAGATATGTATATTAATTAAGGACCGCTCCCCAACAACAACCCAAACACCAGAAGATATCGGACATCGGTTGGAGACAATTAAACAGGAACAACAACAAGTAGCCATAACATTGTGTGCGATTGCACAGTCATCGTTTCCAGGGATCCTCAACGCCAAAGACTAGTACGAGTGGCAGCGTCGACAGCAACAACAACAACAATAACAACATCAGTGACGGTTATAACTCATCAGCACCCCGACGACCACCATAGCATACACCAAGTGCACTAGCAGAAAACGCCAATTCAGCAACAAAGTAATGTGAACACCCAACCACGATGTTGACGAATAAGATCACCACATGGCAACGGCAACAGCAAGTCAACCCGACACCGGTTGGTAGCAGAAGCAGCATTAGCCAGTACATAGGGATAATAATTAGAATTCAGCACTTTTTCAAAGAATGTAAGCTCTTTTGTATTTCATACATAAAATTCAAATTGAGGGAATAAATCATTCTAGTTCGAACCATCGTCGCGAGTAGTCGTTAAATCTTTTTAAAAAGTCTTCGAAGTCCATTCGAAATATAACTTATTTATTCGGCAAAAATGTGTATTTTAACAAGTTCTGAATGTTTCGTGAAGACGACTTTTTCGATAAACTAAATTAAAGATAGTTTTTGAATTTCAATTATATTGAGGGTCACTCTAATGTTTACAACCACCAAAAGCACAAAGACTTCACCAAAGACACCAAATGTTTAAATATTAGAACAAAAGCCCTAGGAGTACTATTCCGGCTAAATTCCCATTCTGGACGACTGTGCATTACATTTTCTGGCATGTTGCCAAAATCGAACGGACTCAATTGATTTCAATGTCTATATTTATTATTTTTATATGTTTCTAATGCTTTTTAGTTCTACTATTTTAGATACCTATTATTTCTAAATTTGTGTCAGTTTTTTGTTTATACTGTTGAATGTTTGAAGTGCTCCTTTTTAGTTATATTCGTTAAAAAGGAGCACTTCAAACACCATTAAAACCATTAAAACAGATATTTTTACTTCAATACATGCAGTCTCGCTATTCTTCGAAGTCATAACCCGAAGTTACGAGATGATCTCATTTCAAATAATATAGGGTGTCCCAGAAAGTATTAGCGCAGTTTATTATTGCAATAACACAACTTTATGCTAATGAACTCAAGTTTTTATTTCAAATTTATGTGCTCTATAGTATTCTCTTACAATTGGATGTAAATAATCCGCAGTTCCTTCAATCATATGTCAAGGAGCGAACTTTTGATCTGACGCTGCCCATAGTCAGCTTCAGCACAGATTCTTTGGCGATAATTTTGAAAAATATTGCGCACACAAATTTGTTGAGCAATATGTAAACAACAACACACATCGATAAACTTCATCGGGTAGAAATGGCGGCGAGTTGAAAGTGTGCTTATACTTTCTGGAACACCCTATAGTGTCAAATGCATAACAAATTCGGTTCCCATGAAATCACCATACAAATTTCTTTCGAAATATCCTCAGAGTTTCTTTGTAATTCTCCTGGACTTCTCTTTATCCTCCCCATGAGTCTCATGCGGAGAGTGAGGCATCCCAGTGGTTCCGAGAGCATCTTTTTTTTTTTTTTCCTTTGGTTTGTTTTTTCCGTCGATCTTGTTTTCCGTGCTGAGCACCAATGCTACCGACGTGCCAGGAAGGCAGCTCCCACACCTGGACCCTACCTATCGACCCATCAACTCATGAACCGGGGACCAACGGCTTCACTTCCCATCCGAAGGAAGGCGTGATCAGAGATGTTATGCATCAGAACATCCCGGCGGCGCCGACTGGGATTGAACCCAGGCCTGCTGAGGTGAGAGGTAATCACGCTTACCACTACACCAACGGCGCCGTTATCCGAGAGCAATTATCCTTACCAAGTTCCGAGAGCAATCATCCTTACCAAGTTTATTGAAAGATTATTAACCCAAGTAACAATTTAACAGCCTTTTGGCTTTCACTCTGATTTATTGTGGTTTTATGACGGCAAACACAATCTTTTTGGTTTAAGTACAGCATTCAATAGTGCAACATATTCTTGTTTAGCAGTTCAGAATTTTGCTGTTTTGAAAACCTTTTAAAGTCTGACGATAAAGTCACAACGGGTCTGGTTTTAAAAATGAATTTTATGCAGCACTCTATCCCTTTATAAAACTATGAAGTTAGCCAATCATAAACCTGCTCGGTATTTTTTTTATTAATGTCATGGCAAAATGCTCCATAAAGGTGTTTTATCATTATAAAAGCAATTATAAAACCGTTCGGTTTAAAACGGGAACAAAAAGCATACCTTGTTGCTTTTTGGTGTCAATAAAGTGTATCACAAAACCCCCAAATGTATACAAATTGAACTAAAAATGTGGACAGAGAAAAAATAAATAGAGTGGGGCTTTTAAATGCTGAATCACAAGTAAATGCCGATGGATAGTCGAGTAATAAAACTATTGTCGCGCTTATGTTAAATTCTCTTTGGTGACGGTCGAAGCGCGCCGCTCATAAGCGCGATGCAACCCCGCCCATAAGGATTTTACACAGGTGTGTAACTTTGATAGTATTTTATAGCAGCGGCTTGAGAAGCGAATCCTGGATAAAGAGCCGTCGTGTGTTAAATCTATGGGCGCAGTCGTACGGCCACAAACAGAAAACCGATGGTATAATCCCTTTTGGAGAAATTATCCTGCCACGCATAATATAAAAAATACCTATTATGTTTCCTAAATTAAAAATAATTAGTAAAATCAACATTTTTCGAAGACGGACTTATATTTTTCGATCTTCCGAAGCTCATTTCACATTAGATTTAATTTGTCACCTAAAAATAGACCATAATATGAGTTTCGATAATTTTGGTAATTATTTCAGGATTTTTGACAGATTTATTTTTGAACAATGAATTTGGCAAGAGCGGATGATATTTATGAATCCCTTTTTATCTTGATTGATGCTTTATTTTTAGTGCGCTTATCAAACGTCAATGGCAAATGGCACGAGTATTGATGCCAAATGGCTTTTATTGTAGTTTTAATAAAGATTTCAAATGCAAATCAATCTTGAAGTGCCTTGAAAATATGCCATTAAAAAACCTTCTCCAGGGTGGGCCAACTAGACAAAAAAAAATTGGCGTATTCGATCAAAAATCAAAAATGCTAACATAACAGGGACACAATTCAAAATTGACCAAAATCGTAGAATATCAACTATTAGTACAAAAACTTTTTTCTACGATTAATTCATAATGTTTCATGCAGAAAACATTTTTTTTTGTCCAGAAAATCGTTTCCATCGTTGCAGGGGAAAAAATTCAAACATTTTACTAAAAGTTTATGTTCTACGATTTTAGTAAATTTTTAAGTGTCCATTTGAGAAGAGTTAGATTTTTTAATAAGCTTTCAAATAAACATAAGTTTAAAAAATTAATAAATGTATGTATTTGTTTTGTTATTGAAGTTATATAGACTTTAAACCAGCATCCTAAAAAAAATCCCAACAGAGAATTTTGCAATTTTGACATGTTGCAAACCCAGAATAGCTCCAGTGACCACTATAAAACTAAAATAGTTTTCCAGTCGAATGGTTCTGCAAGAATTGAAATCAGACCATATTTGATGAAGTTGCGACACCCCAAAGTTCGCTAAAAAATGTGCCTATCCTTCTTGATTTGTTTATCCTCAGTATTTTGCATCGCCACTAAGGGGCTCTAGATATACCATGTACGATCTAGTTGAGATGTAATAGCTAAGAAGAATAAGACGAGTTGAAACATAGATAATTTGAATCACGCTATTGAACATAAGTCAATAAAATGATACAGAGATGATTGATTTATGTATGATTTATGAAGTGTTAACTGAAATGCTATTAAACGTTACATTGCATGATGTGCGATGAGTAAGCCACACAAATATCACTGATGCACTCACCTTGTTAGTGTAATTTTGAAGACGTTAGTTCAAAACATCCAATTCATTATTTATTTCAATATATGATTTATTTCAGGAAATGCTACATTCTACTGTCTAAACTGTCCTTATTCAGTATCAATATGATAAACGAAAGTCCTTGCATAACAGATACAAATGATTTTTTTTTACAATGTGATGTCTATACTAATGCTAAAACCTGAGGTCCCTATCCATGCGTGTTAAATTCTAATGTCCCTGAGGAATTCTGATGAAACATATTTCGAGTGTAGTTCATGCATACTGATCGGCACCAGCTTGGGGTGGGTGTGTGTTGTGATAGAAGTAGTGCGCTTCCAAATACCGAGACGAGAGTTGCATTTTGTATGAAGTGCTAGTTACAATTGTTACCTTCAAGACGTTTCAGCAGTTTATCGGAGTCATCCTCACGTTTGAGCGTTGACGCACTGCTTTCCAGGGATGGCACCGATGAGGTCTCGATCGGAGGTGAATCTGGCGAGATGGCAAACTTAACGGAGGCTGGACTTTTCGTAATCGACTTTGGCGGGGAATGCTCTTGGAAGATTTGTGAATTGGCAAACACGGCCATCACCTCCGGCGCCAGCATTGGCACGTTGGTCTGAATTTCCCGACGAAGATCATCCTCGTGGATTTTCGAGCTGAAAATAAACCAAACCAAGCAGCAGGAAGAAAATTAAAACACAACAGGAAAACGAATCACGAAATAATAAAAATTTAGCAGACTAAATAGCGGGCGACACAAAGCCAGAGCGCTTTCGGGCTGTCTCAACATACATAGTCAGATTCAAAAGTCAGCCAACCCCTTCTCTTGCCGGTGAGAGGCCCCAGTTAAAAACAAAAGGAAAAAGAACGTCGTGTAGGTACCCTCGGCTGGATTTTTTTTATATACAAATTGTGTGATGCGATGTGTGAATTTGGAAAAGTCTTCGTTATCTCGCTTCTGCAAGGCACCAAGAGATGGAAAATGGAACAATAACGAAATTTACCATCTCCGTGCGTTCCTTCTGGAAACGGAAGAACGCTGTTAACGCGCAGAAATGGGTGCCTAGGTATCTACATTCATTTGTTCGTTCTGAATTATTTTACCTTTGCCATGACGATGTTAGTTTGCCAAGTTTTTTCTGCATATGTTTTAATATCGAAGCCTTCCGCAAATACAATTTCAAACTCACTCTCGGAAGCTGAAGTCAAATATATGCGTGCGTGTTTTTTTTTTTTGTGTGATCATTGATATTTAATTGATGCATAAATGTTCTATGTTTTAAAATATCTAATATAATATGAACCGTAAAACGGGGTATTTTTGATAATGCGGGTAGCTTTGATAGTAGAATATAATGATATATAAATATAAATATATTCTCTACGCTTTTTCCGAATTAGAAACATTGGTTCCGTATTGTAGCTTAGGATATTTACGTTGTATGGTACATATTTTTTTATAAAGTGTGTGTTACTTCTTTTAAAAAAATATTAAAAAACAATTTTCTTGCTTCTCGTCTGTTTGAAAAAGCTCTCAAACCAGCACTAATGAAATGTATTTTCTATAAATTTCACTGTCACTTACAAATTCAATGTTTTATTCGTATTGCTTATGATGTTTTCTGATTATATACTCCATCAAAGTTTCATATTCCAGGATCTAAATTATTTGAGTTTCACGCATTTTATTTCTACATTCATCGAGCATTATCAAAGTAACACCAAATCAAAATACTTATGCAAGACTGAAAAAATAGTGCATCTGCTTTACTTTCCGTTAAACATATTACTAACGTATTGACTCTAGGATCTTCAGTACTTGTTTAAAAAAAAACACAGTATGAAAGGTTGTCGTGCATGACAGAATAACAATTGTCATCTTAAAACTAAAAATTAAAACTAAATCTTGAGGTGATACTCTAAGGAAGCCTTAGCGTAAAACTTCAAAGGCACAAATGTAAGCTTCCACAAAACAAACACATTTGAAATTGCTACTCTCTGCTTGTAGTAGCCCAGCAAACAAGGAGTAGCAATTTAAAATGTGTATGTGCTCAGCACGGAAAACAAGATCGACGAAAAACAAATCAAAGAAAATAAAATCACCTGGAGCTTTCTTATAGTGATGAATAGAATTGCTTAGCAAGTTTCTGAGTTTTTCATTGTGAATTTATGATCAAAATTTTACCATCTTCTTTAAGGGAAAGCTCACTGCTCCGAAAAAACAATTACTTTTTGATTTTTCTAAAAATATTGGAAAAAGGTATCAAACATCTAAAAAAAAACATTTCTAATTTTTCAAAGAAAATTCACGTGCAAAAACATTTTTTATTAGTCACTATGCACAGTGGTTTAAAAGTGCAAATTCGTGAACTTAATTGTTTTCAGAGATGTACGTACGTTTTAGCATTAAGGTGTCTTCAGAAGATTTTCATAGTTCTGGATTCCGCACCTTTTGGAATGTTCACCTTAATTTTTCTTAGGATTTTAGTTTGGATTAGTTTAACATGTTATTTTACTTTTAAGTTAGTTTAAAATAAGTAAAAACAAACTAGAAATTAAACAAAAAATCAAGACCATTGTTAGTTAGCAAAATATCGTTTTTACTTTAATAGCCCCATACAAAAATCTTAAATCTTTGTTTACTAAAATCCACCACAGTTTCCAGGATACTAACGGATACTTATGATCTCCACAACATTTTAAGTACAAATTCTGAGCTTTCAAATGAAACTTGTTGCAAGTGCGGCAATTTGCGGCCAGCTTAGTTATAGCTTTTTGAAAAAGGGTGATTTTTTGCTTAAAAATCACTGTATCTCTCGCCAATCAAATCATAGCACTTTGGTGTCTTCAGATATTATCTAAAACTTTGCAGAATACACCAAAGAGATACAACGTAAATAAGACATAGAAAAACTCAAACAACTGATTTTAAGGTGCAACTGGCAAATAATCTCTTATATCTTCATATAATGAAGTCATGGCAACTTGATGTCTTCAGCAAAGTTTCTTGAAATTGAAAGCCCTACAAATTTGTACAATTCATCATCTCGATATCTGTTAATATAAAAAAGTTAGTGTTTTGAAGTGCAGTTGCACCTCAAGAAAAATTAAGGTGAACATTCCAAAAGGTGCAGAATCCAGAACTATGAAAATCTTCTGTAGACACCTTAATGCTAAAACGTACGTACATCTCAGAAAACAATTAAGTTCACGAATTTGCACTTTTTAACCACTGTGCTATGGCATAAAGATGGACAAAAAAAAACAACAAAACATTGATTTTTTGGTTTTGCTGAGGTCCAATATTTTTTCATGATGAGATAGCAAAAATATGTTTACATGTAATTTTTGTCAAGAATCTAAGGAAGAAACTGATTTTCTTGGATTTTTGATAATTTTTCCCAATATTCTTAGAAACAAAAAAAAAACGTACCGATTTTTTTAATTTTCGGGCACAAATAAACCTTTCCTTTTAAGTGCTGGAATAGGCTTTTGAGAGTTTTTTTTTTTATGTTATTGAATTTCCAAAAGGGTTTGAAACTCGGGTCTAATTTCGACACATTTTTTTCAAAACTTTTGTTCCTCGATTCTCTGGATTTTTAAATTATTTTTGCAAATCCCACCAGATAACTTTAATGGCAGGTTAACCTAGAATTTTAGAACTTAGACAGCTCTTGCTTCAACTATACAAGTAATCAGAGAATTAAAAGCATGATTAATATTATCTTTGGTTTGCAAAGAAATATTTGGATCATGGACAAAAAATAGCAAAAACCGCCGAACGCAGCCCAATTATCATACTTTGAGAGCTTCTTATATTGCTTTAGCCTTTCCATTTTCTTAAGCAGTGGTGAAAACACAGACTTGATAATCACAACGCTCGTGGTTCGAATCCGGTTTGTTTCCATTTTTAGTTTTTTTTTAACATAATTTATGTCTTCCAACGATCATTAATTTTTTTATTTTGTCAAACAACACGCAACGATTGATTAAATCGTGCAGTTTTTAATCATCTCCGAGTAACCGACAGATCTAAGAGCGACAGAGAGTGCACACACTGAGTTAGTTTTTTTCACGACGTAAATGAAAGATGATTCTGTTCATATGGAAATTATCATGCGGTGTTTGGAGTGCGACGAATATTTTTCATCACTGACTTTGCTCTCTCTACATTGATGCAAGACAGCCCCGGCACCACCACTAAACTTCGCGGGTCCGAGTTGCAACTTCCAACGTCAAGATCTCCACTGGCGACAAAGGAAATTCAAGTCTTCGTCTTGCAAGCAGGTAATGACCAAAGCATGCTATGAAAATGGGTAACTTTTTTTTAAAACAAATTGCTACAATAAAAATAGCACAGGCATAATTTTTAGTTCTAAACAGATATCGTTCTTTCATGGGAGTACCCGTTTTGGTACCATTTCCGAATTTGGCCAATTAGGTTAAAATGGTTCTTAGCCTTGAAACTTATCGAAGGGGCCTTTCAGAATATTGTCCAGGTTTTGTTATGAGTCACCCCACTATGCCTGGGAGCACGCTACTAGGTTGAAAGTATTTTCTATTTAAAAAAAATCATCAATTTGTCCCTGGATTATGGTTCTACAATTGAATCGTCAGATCTACTTTTAAATCTCACCTCACAATGCTGTTATGTCCTATGCTGGCCGGCTGTCGACAAATCGGAGCGTTGTTGTTTTCCATCGATTCTTCCGAGTTGTAGAAGCCATTCTGTGGTTTCTTCTCGGTGGCATACTCGTCGTCCTCGGGATCATAGTTTGCTGTAAGTAGAATCAAAATCCAATCTCATTATCCATTTGAATTCACCAGCAAAACGCTACAAACGACTAAAAACAGAAACCACCGAATGGCGACCCCATATCAAACGATAATTGGGCACAAATCACCGCACCACGGGAATTCATCAAAACCCGCATCTCTTATGCGCTGATAGCAGGCCAGGATCAGACAAAATCGTATAAAATTACCCGAGGCGAACTGAGCGTACCTACTCGTTTGTGTTGTTTATGTCTCTACTAGCAAAACAAATAGGCACCACCATTCGCTCCCCCGCGTTACCTCTTATTACCTTAGGGACCATCCATAAATGACGTAGAATCTGTTTGACTAATTTTAGACCTCCTTGCAGCGTATTTTGCTATAGATGGCCAGTCTCAATTTCTCGAACCCCCTCCCCTCAAATGTTACATCATTTATGTATGTTCCCTTGCCACACAAAAATGGGAAAATCTATTCACAACTTGGTGGGCTATACACAAAGCACGAAGAGAGCAAGCAAAATTAATTATCAGTCCAATTATAGTGTGATTGAAAATCTCGACAGTAGTGCAACCCAGTTCGAGTGTGAATCGAACATCAATACTTCTATCCATTGGTTGTGTTTCTCCTGTGCCGTACATATATCTGCCATACCGTTGATTCTTGGTGTACGAAATAGGGGTCGTAAATAACTAAACTGATGTGTCTACTTCATGTGATCGTCAAACCAAAAGGGTGTGATTGGCCTGTGTTGGGAATAGTTTTGCTTGGCAAGCATGCTCCCGACAGCTCGGCCTCTGGCAGAGTGAAAGCTGGTGACCGAGCGGACAAATGATTTTAATAATAATTGTTATTCCTTTTGCTGGTCAGCTCGGTCACCAGCTTTCACTTTGCCAGGGGCTTTAGTCAATAAAGGCACGGAATACTACTCAGATATTTCAGCAACCAAGTAGGCTGGGGCACCGGTACCAACAGGCTCGGCATAGTTGCCCTTCCTAAGCACACGATGGATGCGACCAACGGGGAACAGCAGTCGAGCGAGATTGGAACAAGACTTCTCATTTCCCTCTTTTGTTGCAGCTTTGGTGGGACAGTAGAGTCACAGACAAACAGACATAACACATTGAATATTTTTCAATATAAAAAATCGTAGCTAAAACACTACCGCCATCTGTTGAGTATACTGTGATGGGCATTACACTGAATTGATGGCGGTAGAGTGTTAAAGTCAAACGCAATGGAATTGATTATGCACGTCTCAGGTGGCGGAACTACCAAATTGACCATTAAATGCGTGTTCAATGAACAACTTGCGAGTGTTATGTCTGTTTATCTGTGGTAGAGTTGTTGAGCATAGGCGATCCCTTCGTCGCGCGCGGTGCTATGCAAGAAGCAGTCAACTAGACTGAGGCACCAGGCTCAGCAGACGGCGGATGCGACCGACCGGGATCTGCAGTCCAGCGAGGTTAGAATAAAACCTCTCCTGTTGGTGGGTATCCAATGCAACGAGCGCGCCGTGCCAACACCGCTCTCTTAAGACCGTGGCCTTATATAATGTGGCCTTATAATAACTCAAAATATCATGTTCAAGTCGTGTGGCGGTGGCGAACGTCGACCTGGTGTTTTGACATGCTAACAGATGCTACAACTCGCCCGGTACACCTGCTAGCACGTCAAAAGATCATATCAACATTCGCCTCACACCAGGCGACATTGACGTGATGTTTTGACAGGTTGTATGATGTCGCACCGCACCTGTCGGCAGTGTTGCCACATTTTTCCAATTCTGTATTTTCACCATCAAAAAATCTATGTAATTTGTATCTAGCTCACAAAAATCTGTATAATTTGTTTATGAAGGCCTAAGGCTGTGTTCTATTTGATGGATTTTCACTTAAATTTGACAGATGGAAAATTCATTAATAAACCTTCTATTTTACCAGACTTATTTCTAAAAGACTAAAGATCAATTTTGACAAACAGCTTCTCGAAAGTCGATCCACACTAGAGGGATTATATTATAATTTATTTTCTAAGGCTGTGTCCCAACTACCGAGTAAAATTTAACTCGTGGTTAAAAGTGACATTTCGAATGTGATTTTCCATGTTCGAAAATCTCTGTGTTATCGATCAACCGGTTTTCGATCAGAGCAGTCACGGTTATCAAAATATAACTCGACAGTGAGCATGCATAAGGGCCTATACGCGATGATCGATTCTCTTCATCGATTTTCTCTTTGCATTGCTACAGCTAAGCGAAACAGAATTTATTCAATGTAGAGTTGTAACAGGTTGCATTGGCCATCAAAAGCAACAGCAAACGCACCGACAAACGTTAAATCTGGCGAGTTATTAACAAAAGAGAAAATCGATGAAGAGAATCGATCATCGCGTATACGCCCTTATGAATGCTCACTGTCGAACTTCTTGTCTGTCAGAAGTAACCATAACTACTCTTGGATAGCAGGGTTAATCGACAAATTTACATCTGTCACCATTTGCCTTAAACTATTGGTTTAAGTGCAAAGATTTTTGTCCTCCTAAATACATTTTTTTTTGTGATGAAAATGTGCTGCTTGGCTTGTCAAACGTTACTTATTGTTAAAAAGGGTGGCGAGGAGGGGGCAAAAATCTGGATTTTTTGCGTTACGTAATTTGTGTATCGCGCCTTACGCTTTTGTAACGAGCATTTTGCTTGCTCTCAACTTAGTGTTCTAGATGTACTTCCACAGTTATTGATTGAGAGCTTTTTGTTTTTTTTTTCCTCTGGTTTGTTTTTTCCGTCGATCTTGTTTTCCGTGCTGAGCACCAATGCTACCGACGTGCCAGGAAGACAGCTCCCACACCTGGACCCTACCTATCGACCCATCAACTCATGAACCGGGGACCAACGGCTTTACTTCCCATCCGAAGGAAGGCGTGATCAGAGATGTTATGCCTCAAGAACATCCCGGCGGCGCCGACTGGGATTGAACCCAGGCCTGCTGGGGTGAGAGGTAATCACGCTTACCACTACACCACCGACGCCGTTATTGAGAGCTTTTGTATATTGTTATATATGTATATTGTGAGTAAAGCAAATGATACTCTATGCCCATGAAAGTCGAGAAAAAATCGACCCAACTGGGTATCAAACCCGCCTCCTCCAGACGGACAGAAAATCATCAACGTAGAAGCCAGTTATGATTCGCTTTTGATGGACCTCCTCCGGTGACCAGGGCTGCTTTTGAGAATATACGAAACATTTGCAGATAAAAACTTATTAGTGCACGCACCACAATCCTAATCATCATCAACTCAAACATGAAATCTTAACTGTTATACGACAGCAATACATGATGCGTATCAGTGTAGAACACCCAAAAGCTGCAGGTGTTCATCTACCGGTGCCTGGATCTCGAATGCTGAACTCCATCTATGTCTATGTCATCAGAAGCCGATAACAACAGAAATTCGAGAACGAAAGTGGAAGTGTGTTGGCCACATTCTACGAAGAGGCTGGAACAAAATCTGCAAGCCCAGGGAACATGAGTCTTAACCAACAAATCAAGCAAGATGACAAGAATTCGACCCGGGTCCAGGTTAAAGCGAAAACAAGCCTAGGATGGAATTTTTTCAGGTTGGCCCTTTGCACCACTGAAAATGCGCAGAATACATGAGTGTGTGAGTGAGTTCTAGTCTTTCTTCATATTGCTCTGGTGGTAAGTATTCAATGTACATGTAGGATTTTGGATCTAATTTCCACGCTTTTTCTCACTTTATCGAACGGATTTGAACAAAAAATGGAATACTTCTCCTATGGATGACTTTTCATATATGAATAGAAACTGGCTTTAAATTTTGTTAAAAATATATCACTGCTTCTTGATTCCAAATTCGTCATACGGGTTTCAATTGCATCCAAATGCAATGAAACGCCATGGGATTCGTCTAACGGATGAAGGTAGGCAAAATGAATTCGCTTGCAGCACTTCTTTTGTTGAACAATGGGTGTAAATATATATATTATAGGCTTTTTGTTGCAGCTTTTGAACTTAAGTATCTGATCAAACGTATTATTGATTTGCGCACGGTGAAGTCATTGAGATTTTGTATGATTTCTATACTCGATAGAATGGAAATAGGCTATTACGACGAAATAGCGCTCTACCTTACTTACAGAAAATTATTTTAGGCTTAGGTGAAGACAACTTTTTTAAAACCAAAACAATTATTTTGTAATACGGTGTTTACATTTATTTTCTCACATGATGTCAAACAATTTCATGAAGATACGCCCTTTAGCAGATAACCCTCTTCGCAGACCATCGTATTATCGCTTCACGTTCTCACTTTTTGTTCCGAAACTAACAGGTAGGTACCCAGAAATATGACCTATTTACCACTATTTTTTTTCTGATGTCCCCTCCTGCCTAACTGATTTCTTGCAGGAATGGTTGGATTTGCAAATCTCAAGGGACCATCGATAAATGACGTAGCATATTTTTATTAATTTTAGACCCCCTCGTTGCGTATTTGGGTATACATAATACATGGCTGGTCATGACTTTAGAACACCTCCCCCCCCCCCCAACGTCCTCAAATGCTACGTCATTTGTGCATGTGTCCTAATTGCGAATTTTCATACATTATTATTGTTAGCGCCTCAGTTACCGCGAATCTAATTGATTCGTCAAATTAGTTTTTAGCAGCCCTCACTACTGCGTCAAAAGGTACCGATAGCTGGATTCGCAGAGACCTGTATGGGTGGCTAATGTGGAAAATATTTGTTCGACAATTTCACACATCGACGAACATGACAGGCTTTATCTAAATTATGCGAATGGTAGCCCCCTTGCGCGGCTATTTTATCGTTGAACCTTCACCGAACCGACACATAAAAAGAGGGATGGAATAATTCATAACATCAACTGCAACCGTGCGATGCATAAATTGTAAAAAGATTTATAATCACACACTACATTTTCTATACCTAGAAATAGAATATTGATTTCCCAGCAAATTCATGTTCAGCATTCTTAAATCAATAATTGAATAACAAAGCAAATTCAATCAACTGAATACTACGGAAGCCCAACTGTAGCGAAGTGAGTTGAGAAAATTCCTAAGAGTTAAACATCCACATGAAGCATGCACTGCATTGCTCCTCTCTCTTGCTGAGCACAGAAAAATTATTGATATGAAATATATTTTTTTAATGTTATCTTCTCGTGCCGTGAACAAGACCACATTCCGTGATAACGAACGTGACAAATCCTGTTTAAATGAGAGCTTTAAACAGATTGCAATAACTACTCGGTTCGGTTTTGACATTCATTCAGTCGAATTAAACAAGCATCATAGGGTGGAGCACTAGACTGATGCAAATTTTGACATTTTCGCTCCACAGTGCTCAAACGGTTCCAAATCGGGTCCTGATTAGTCTCCCAAAATTTGAACTCATTTGAAAAGAAACTGACTTGGCACAAACCATTTGAAGTTTATATGGAAATTACTATGGGAAATCCAAACTATGTGTTCATTGTCTTCTTACCTTTTTCCATATTACACTGTTCAAAAATTCAAAAGCTATACTTATGGAAAATTTTCTCAGCTTCAACTTAGCAGAATATAGTTGTTGAACCAAACGTCAAATTAAATAGTTATTAATTGTTTAAGAGATTGATAATCTTATGGCATGATCAAGCAGCTGTTTTGTGAGCAACACTGTATCTTGCAGTGTGACATAGTAGCCATGATTTTTGTGCTCTATTCCAAGCGCCAGAAACACCAATGTTGCCTGCTGAACAGTTGATTGAGCATAATCGTAAGACATTAGTGGCTTGAATTAATGATAACTTTTGATGCTTAGATTATATTGAAAAGTGGTTCAGGACAAAGTTGTAGCTGAGAAAATTTTCTACGAGCTCAGTTATCATTTTTTAAAGCAGAGCGATATGATAAATTATTAGATGGATATGAACAAAACATTTGGTTTTCCTATAGTAATTTCCATATAAACTTCAAATGGTTTGTGCCAAGTCAGTTTCTTATCGAATGAGTTCAAATTTTGGGAGACTAATCAGGACCCAATTTGGAACCGTTTGAGCACTATGGAGCGAAAATGTCAAAATTTGCATCAGTCTAGTGGAGCACTACTTCATCATATAGGACTCATTTTCATCATAGGCCTCAAATCCAGTGCTGCATTATTTCATCAATATAACGTGACAACTGAAGCCGGCGCCGGTGGTGTAGTGGTAAGCGTGACTGCTTTCTAACACCCCAATGGGTCTGGGTTCAATCCCAGCCGAGGTCGGTGGGATTTTTCTGAGCCTTAAAAATCTCTGGTCACGTGCGATATCCTACGCAGGTGTGGAAGCTGCCTTTCTGCACATTCGGTTGCCGTCAATGGATGACAATCGATGTCCGCCGGTGATTGGCACTAGATTGCGGAACAGAGACCGACGTTAAATAAAGGAAAAGAAGACGTGACAACTGACGTGCCACATTTCTAAATTCTCACTGACGAAGCCGCTATTGAATTGCTGAAGGTTAAAATATGATACGACACGACATGCGTTGCTTTCCCAAAGTAGTCCGGCAAATTGTTTATTACAGGTTGAGATTGTCGCAGACTGTTATTTTTCTTCATTGAGCAACATGTTTGTCCTCATCGTTTCGGATGTCGTTTTGTTGTCAGTGGTTTCGGGTATCCTTCAAAAGAAGAGACTTAAAAGTTTTGAGGACATAGAGTGCTGCAGGATCCCCGGCTATGAATATTATTGTGCCATCGATCCCGACCGTGGTTGTGCTTTTTTTATTTAAAGAATTTCATGTGACGCTGCTGGACGAAACATTGACCGGCTGCGGAAGGTAGAGTGCTCTTGCTCAATGGAAACCCTGCCAAATAGTCGCGAATCATTACTAAGCGTCTCGTTGCTGGCGATAATTGCACATACGTGCATATTTCCAGCACGTCGAATGATTCATGAAACGTGTCACGCAACACAACTTTCCGCTGAACTGATTTGAATGGGAAGTTAAACAAATGCTGGTTGGATCAACCAAATGCTGTCAATATCAAAATGTATAGATTGAAAATTCACATTTCGAAAGTTGTAAGCAACGCTAGTATCCTTGGCTTTTTGGAAAACCATTCAGATCAATTTCATATCGAATAGTGCTTTTATTCATTGTTGTATTTTTTTTAAGTTTCTTCATCGACCATCTCTTTAGTTATTAACGCTTCTGGTTGTGTTTGTCGTATAACTAATTGCTAGATTCCATCAAACTGTTTGTCAAAAATGGCCCGAAACGATTTTACATGGCCGTGGCGATCCAAATAGAAAATCATTAAGAGAATCTATCAATGTAGTTAGGACCTTATGCATTGTTCGTATTGATTTCAAACCTGATAGTTAATCTTATTCGAACAAACCACTATTATAAAATGAGTAGGATGAGTGTCCTATACGAAAACCCTTATGCCGCGGATACACTTGTATGACGTACTATGAGCATGAGTATTATGTGTATAATAATTATGAGCGAGCACTATACAACTATACTGCCGCTATTCGCACAACAGTCCTATGTAGATAGGAAATCCATAGGACATGGGACTGTTATGCGAATAGCGGCAGTATACACAAACTATACAAGTGTGACCATGGATGTGCTCATAATTTATTATAATAATAATGCTCATGCTCATAGTTTGCCATCCAAGTGTATCCGCTGCATTAGTAACATGATATTTCTTGTCTTGAAGATCATACTGAGATGAGGACCGAGGAAAGTCGGAAAGCATCCCGACTTCGTTTCGCTTAAATTGCGCAAAAACGGCTCAGAATCCTGTGGAAAACTGTGGACAAGGGGAAAGGGGTAGAATTTCAGCAAGGACTTAAATTTCAAGATGATTTCTGTATATTTACTGGATTTAGCTCATGAGATTGCTTACCAATAGTTTCATCGTAGCAGAATTTTTCTTCAATGCAGTTCCAGTAAAAGTCCTCCCAGCAGCTGTAAAAGAAAATAAGAGAGCCTTTAAATGTGAATAAAATGTAATAAATCATGCATGTACATGAGGGTAGTTCATTATGAAAAAAAATGTAATCATGAAAGTCACCCCTCCCCCAGTTTGATTCAGAACCCCAAAATATGAATCTGTTCAAAAAGTGGTTAAGGTAGATGAAAGTTTAGAAGTCACGCAAATGGTTTGATATTTTCATGAAGATTAGAGGAGATTAGTATATAAATTTAAAACTCTCTAACCTTGGTTCTAGTAGTGCTTATACACAGTTCGAAAAAGTTGTGTAAATTTCTGTTCAATATGATGCACATAAAAAATTATACAAGTTCTAAGACATGTCACTAAATATTCCATAAATCGTATGCAACCGTCCAGCTTTGTAAGAAACATTTCTTGCAAGTTGCTGGTTTGTGGAAATACAAGTTTACACGCACGAAAGTTTACATCATAATTAAAATTCAGAATTTTTATCTGTGTAATAGAACATGTTGTGTTGATTTTTACACACATATCGATGGGAAATTATTTCGTGAATTGACGGCGGGCTCTTCTCCCCACTCATTGGGACGTTCCCTCGTATGATGGCTTGTTCTACATCGGGTTGTAGGATTTTATCATTGGAAGGCGATTCTCCTAACCCCGTGGATTGCGTGTAAGTGTATCTGCTTACGGGTCCGCCCCTCCGTTTTTGGCCCTTCTTACAATGGTAAATTGAATACAACCAGGTATCGTACTTGATCAAGTCATACTTGGAGGATGATCCACTGTCTAATGGCTGTGCCTTGCAACAATGAGTGGTATCCTTTACACACATACACACACACATATCGATGGGAAATTATTACCTCATGCTGAATTGATGATAAGATCGAGGCTCTGGGGTCAACAATATTCAAAATAATAATTTTGCCCAAAATGAATTTGATTATTTTGCTTTTGAGGCTCGCTTCTGATTTTGACAATTTTAGGTTGAATAATTAAGCACTAGTGAAAATTAACAAAAGCGTAGTCATTGATGCATAATGTGTCATTTGTTCATTTCTTCTTCTTCTTTCCTTTATTTAACGTCGGTCTCTGTTCCGCAATCTAGTGCCAATCCCCGACGGGCATAGATTTCAATCCATTGGGGTGAGAAAGCAGTCACGCTTACCACTACACCACCGGCACCGGCCAGTGACCAATAGTGACACAAACTATTTCACCTGTATAAAACGTTCCCAATCGATCGCTCTAACTCGAATGTTTGATTATGTCATCGTAGAAACAAATTGCATATGAGAAATAGGGAGAAATTAGGTAATGTCTGTATGTGCGTCTGTGTACGCGTACCATCTAGGCATGCTTTATCCGAGATGCCTTATCCGATCAGTATGGTTGATATCCCATGTGGCATATAACTTTTGCTGTCCTTTATTTTAAGTCGGGGAATGCTTCATGTTTAGTTTGGGCGTTATCATACGATTTCTTCTTCATACGCACTTGTACTGTGTCTATACATTTTTCAAACTTTGCAATGTATTCCAATAAGAACAGTTGGATTTTGTCCCTTTGAATTTGCTTCAGCGAGTTTTTCCACCTTCCTGCACACGTTATTTCGAAATAACCCAAATTTCTGTTAGATAAACATTCGGATTCACGTCGCCGTTGTCCATTCATAATATTGTCAGTCTCAACTTCGTTTACTCAATTTTGGGTACCCCTACTTTTGACGGATATGAGTAGATCCTACTCAAAGTTGATTTGCCCCGATTTGAAATAACGTGCCCCCCATGCTGCTTTTTCCCACAAACTAAGCATGATGAACAAGAGCGAACAGACCCCACCATTGTTTTCCAGTGAATGTAAAGGTTGATAGAAAAAGTTAGAGGCAAATTAATGTAAATGCCATGCCTGTCCGTGATAAGTGTAACTGTCGCTTAAAATATTATTAACAAAACGTGGAAACCCAGAAATATAGGAAGGTAGAGCATCGATGATTGCCACACTGAAAATCTCGATGAACATTAAAATAATTGTGTTTTAAATTTTGTATGGAAATTTTGGTGAATTCGTGTGAGAAATTATTGATTTTCTCTTACATGCTCTAACTTTGGTTGTAGTTATCCAAACGATGAATGGTTGTAGTTATTATGACAATTATCAACAAGCCTGTTGTTGTTGTGATGAAATTGGCGTTGTTGCCTTGCACAACAACAGTTTACCTTATTCTGTAAGTTTTTGGGTTTCTATATTTCTATAATCGTCAATAAGCTTTTTCGTCATTGCCATAGTAACCACATTTTTTTTTCATCATGTAGACAAATAAGAGCGACATAAGTGTTTTTTTTTTAAATTATAGTTATTCCCATACAAATTTCAAATAATTGGCGTTACCACTAAACCAATTTTTGAACAGGGTCATATTTTGGGCTTCCGAATAGAACTGGAGTGTGGCCTATTAGAAATTCATATCTTGAAAATGAAGCATCCCAATTTGCATTGATCAATTTATTTAGACAGTCTCTTTTGAAAACCACTGCTATGCAAACAAATTTCGTGCTATTTGTGCCATATAGGTGATTGATTTTAGAGTAGGTCCTATGTCCATGGCATTTGAAGTGACCAGGACTACACTGGTCATGTTTTAGGAACTCCGGAAGGAGTTGAAACCGAGACAAAGGACTCCGCCCTTTAATAGATAGGATTGGATTATATATAATGAACCTGAATCCATACGTGGTTTTAGATTTTTGAACATGCTCAATTGTTGTGAAAATCGGGTATAAATTCACACAAGTGCGTATTTTCATGGACGGTTTGCTTGTTCTGCCCGGATGAATTTGGCTACACCCTATGAAAATGATGCTTGGATTTTATAGAATATTGCATAACATAGTTTTTTTTTTATTTTTATTTTAAATTAATAAAACATACATTTTTTGGGGACCTCCCTTAGCTCAGTCGGTAAAGAAGCAGCTACAAAGCAAGACCATGCTGGAGGTGACTGGGTTCAATTCCTGGTCCGGTCTAGGAATTTTTCGGATTGGAAAATTTCTCGACTTCCCTGGGCATAAAAGTATGATTGGACTTGCCACACAATTAATACCAATGCAAAAATGGTACAGGCATCGAAAGCTCTCCATTAATAACTGTGGAAGCACATCTAGAACACTAAGTTGAGAGCACGCAATAAGCTAATATGCGATATGCAATGAGCTTGAAATGCGAAGAAAAAGAAGACATTTTTTGTTTATTTTTCTTATAAAGACATTATTTTTCTCTAAATCATTATGTCGGACATCATTTTGAGCAGAAATGTCGTTTCCATGCAAAAAATTTTTGATAAATTTCACTGATTTCATTTTGAAAATTTTACAAGATTCAAAATGGCCGAATTTTAGCAAAAATATGAATCGTTGTCCATAACAAACAATAGCGCAAAGTTTCATACAAATCGGAGAATTAAATTCGTTTTCGTTATTTTGCCTGGAACTGCTCACAAACCAAAGAATGGATTTCTTACATCCTCTGCATTTTTTCTTACAACAAATGTAGTGGCAGTTCTTACCATGTTCAAGCAAAAATGTAAAATTTAATAATAATATAATATAACAATAATTTAATTATATTCGTTTAAAACCTTCACGATATGCTAACTAAAGAATTACAAAATTATTTTCCGTCAAAATCTGTTAATGCGGTGAAACATTGCAAATCCCGTATGCTATTTATACAAATCTGTAATAGAATCGTAAAATAAAGTAAATTTATCAAAGCCAAATTTAGCAAACTCGGTGACAAATATTTTTACGATTGATCCACCGGTTCCCGAAAACTGTCTATAAAATCTTCGATATGGTTCAAATAGTTAATCGTTTAATAATGTAAAAATCTGAGGGAGAGTCGCGAAAAGAGAAAAATGGAACGTCAAATGCAGCCAGACGGCAGCTGTCACGAACTGTCATTGGGAGCCAAGCAATTTGATGATGCTTTTCTTACAGTTGAACAAGAATACACAAGGCGGTATTGAACTCTTGCGTAAAGCAATTTATGACAAACTGTTGTTTCCAGCAATTTTATTCAATGGGACTTTTTTTAAATTCATTCAAAATACACACAAATCAATATTGAAAGGTACCAATAACCAAGGTTTTTTCAATACATCTAGTGGCATAGTAAAATACCAAACAGAAAAGTGCAGTTTCTCACTGCACACTGAACAATCTCAAACAATCACAAACACGCTATTTTGCTACGCCTATTTTGATTTTATTTAAATGGCACAAATTTTCATGACAAGAAGAACAAGTATACAATGAATTCCGTGTGTACTATCTGCTTCTCCATCCCAGGTAAAAATAAAAGAATGCCATTTCACGACTTCTGAATCAACCGGTCAATAAAATTCTAGGCAAGCTTCTCAAGCCTAATTTGCTATTTTTAGATGTGCTCCACAGACCGGGCATTCCGGATTATCTTTGGGAATGTGCAGAATTTGTAGTGAGCCCAAACCCATCGTTGCACATAACAAATCACATGGGAATTTAGTAATAAGAGGTAACATTGGACTACCCAGAACCACATATTCAACACCCAGGTAAGGAACCAGTATCTGACATGAGCCACCAATATACATGGGAATTGAAAAACAAGTGCATTGGCCCGAGGATTTGACTACCGTTACAGAGTTCAAAATAGTGGAATAGGCCCGGCATACTCACACCAAAGGTGTCGAGTTCAAATCTCATCCGCGGACAAGTCACGAATGATCTAAAATGTGTCTAAGAGAGTAAAGCCAACTTTCGCTCGTTGGGCTTAACCAAAGCCCACTCAGTGAAAGGCTTTCGCTAGTTGGGCTGAGCTGTCAAAGCTAAAAATTGCTTGGGTATATACCGATTGTCTATTATCATCAAAATCGTTCAATAACTATCCTAAAGGCTACAGCCCAACGATCTAAATTCGATTGTATAAGGCTATTGCGAATTTAATTTTTATTTTATGTTTAATTGCAAAATGTTGAAAGAGCAAAAACATGTAGCTCCTTTCAAAATCGTCTTTCACTATGCGCTTGATTCTTAAATTACACAAATTTTTTTTTTTTTGTATTATTAATATAAATTAGATGTTTTACGTATTTTTTTTTCTATTATTTTCTAGTTTTTTACTCTACCCCCACCTAGACCTTTTTATGTGATGTAGAACATAAAATGAAAATATTAGTTGACTACAAGCTATTTCAAAACTACAGCAATTTGAGAAGGATCCATTCATATTGGCCAAAACTGAACCTACCCAAAAAATGGGTAAGCAAAGTTTGGAGCAGTGTTCGGAAAATCATTCTCAAATCTCATTCATTGAGTCTCCCTGCGAGAATAAACTCGCCTGCGAATGCGGCAAACGAAGTTCACGCTTGAGATTCTCATGCATATTATGCACACTCACACTCACAACGCCGAAAAATCATTTCAGCTTTAAAGTCATAAAAACCGCTCAAACGTCAATTGATTGTGTTAGTTTTCAAACCCCTGATGCACAAACAATAGTAATAGCCAAACTATAAAGAAAAGAATTTTTGAACTTGAACGTTGAATTTTGTAAGGCAAAACTCATGCATGAGATTTGAGTTTTTGAGTTTTTCCAAACACTTGTTTGGAATGACAAATCGATAAATTAATAAAAAATATTATCAAACACACAAACGTTCAAGCTAAAAGCACAGACAAACAGACATAACTCTCGCAAGTTGTTCATCGAACAAGCATTTAACGGTCCATTTAAAAGTATCGTAGTTGGTAGCACCGCCACCTGTGGCGCGCAAAGTAAATTCCCTTGCGTTTGACGTTTACACACTACCGCCATCTGTTCAGCGTACTACCCACCACAGTATATTCAACAGATGGCGGTAATGTTTTTTAGGGACGATGTTTTACAGTGAGAAATATTCAATGTGTTATGTCTGTTTGTCTGTGCTAAAAGCGTTACCTGTTAGTTTTTTTCCATGATTTGTTTTCCGTCGATCTTGTTTTCCGTACTGAGTACCAATGCTACCGATGCCAGTGAAGCAGCTCCCACTCCTGCACCCTACCTATCGACCCATCAACTCATGGACCGGAGACCAACTTTACTTCCCCTTCGAATCCCGGCACCACCGACTGGGATTGAACCCAGGACCTTTGGAATGAGAGGCAGTCACGCCTTCTAATTACATGGCCATTTACGACGATACTAATGAGTGTAGAATATTGAAGATTTATAGAATGTTCTGAATTTTTTTGTACTTTCTTTGAGTGGTGTAACTGTTTTATTAGGAGGAAATTCACCGCTCCGAAAAAAATAATAACGTTTTGATTTTTCTAAAAGTATTGAAGAAAAGTATTAAAACTCTAAAAAAATCACAGTTTTTTTTTTTTTATTCTTCAACGAAAATTCACGTACAAAAACAATTTTTAAGTCATTATGGCGTAAAATTGGACTAAAAACACCACAAAACATCGACTTTTCGGTTTTGCTGAGGGTTCATTTTTTTCATGATGAGATAGAAAAAAATATTAGGAAGAAACTGATTTTCTTTGATTTTGATTATTTTTCCCAATATTTTTAGAAAAATAAAAACGTACCGATTTTTTTTTTCAGGCCTATAAACTTTCCCTTAAGGAAGGCATACACTCAGATAAAAAAGACACTTTTTTATGCCTTGTTAATATTGATGAACAGCTATGAAAACATTGTAGATGAAATTATTTGAAGAAACTTTGTCCAAGCTGACAATTTTCTATATCTCAAGTGGACGAAGTTATAGTGTTAAAATGGAGTACAAACGGTAGTACCCTCTAAAACCGTTAAAGTACTTTAAAAATGCACATTTCTTTTGAAGGAAGCAAGTGTTTAAAATATTTACAAACGTTTTTATAAGGTTTTAACACAATCTTTAAGAGAGTGTATCTTGCGTTCCATCTCAACTGAGTTTAACAGCTTATACCCTACTGTTACATACACAAATAATAGGGGGATCCAAGGGGATGCCTAATTGATTTTCTAATAAAGTAACTCAATCTTTTATTACGTTTTGCTGTTGTTATGACCATTTTTCCACTTGAGAGATAGAAAATTATTGACTTGGACAAAGTTTCTTAAAATAACTTCACCTACAATATTTCCATATAGCGGCGTCGGTGGTGTAGTGGTAAGCGTGATTACCTCTCACCCCAGCAGGCCTGGGCAGGGATGGAAAATCATTTACATTCATTTCGTACATTCATTTACATTCATTTGCCTCTAGCTTTTTCCATCAATAAAGTACCGTAAAATGATGTACGAAGCTTTTGTAGCTTTTGATATAAACTACAACTTTTGTTAATAATTAAAATCTGTATCTCTTATGCATAACGAAATAGAGCTGGCAGAACATGTTATTGTTTTTCAGTGAATGCAATTTACATTCACTGAATAACAAAGGTGGGTTCTTATCACTCTGATTCATCATGCATAAGAGATACAGATTTAAGTTGTTTACAAAAAATGTAGTTAATATCAAAGCCTACAAAACCTTCGAACACTATTTTATGGAATTCTGTTGATGAAAAAAGTTAAAGGCAAATGAATGCACGAAATGAATGTAAATGATTTTCCATCCCTGGGCCTGGGTTCAATCCCAGTCGGCGCCGCCGGGATGTTCTGAGGCATAACATCTCTGATCGAAAGGGAAAGAAGCCGTTGGTGTCTGGTTCATGAGTTGATGGGTCGATAGATAGGGTCCAGGTGTGGGAGCTTCCTGGAGTCGGTAGCATTGGTACTCAGTACGGAAAACAATCCATAGGAAAAAAAATGTTTCCATAGATGTTCATCGATTTTAACAAGACATAACATTTAACATTTAACATTTAGCATATGTAAAAAAAAAAAAGATACGCAAAAACTTACCTTTGACAACATCGGCACATGATATACGTTGTAAATTTCAATTATTTTCTACTAATACAATGAGGTAGCTACTAGCAGCGAAATCTTGAATATATTTCAAAACGCTATGGGTATGTATTTACAATTTAACACGTATCACAGCAAGAATGATTTAAGCACTTGCAAATCACCACAGTCGACGTAAAAAAAATCAGGTCACATTATAAATACGATGCCGTATATCTGGTTTACTTTCTTCTCTTTCTCTTGAGACTAATCACTTTCATCGTAGCACTAGAGTGTTGATTGATTCCGGCTGCGTATTAGGAAGCATCCTGAAATGAAGGAGAAAATAACTACGATAAATAAAGCTTCCACAAATTTTATTCAGACTGCATGCAAATCAATGAAATCCTTCAATCAATCACATGTTCATCACATTCTCCCATAGAAAAAAAAACGCGTTTGAGCGGAAAACGAGGGTGGTACTGAAAGTGATAAAAAAATCTTTCAACGACGAACTCATAAGATGTTCAACTACAACCCTTTATAAATGGCTTCACCATATAACTTCGACCTCCAGTATGTGAACGATAACAAAAAAGAGATACCTTTGCATTTCAACTGTGATAAGATAACAAGTACATATGCACCTTTCCAATAAGCTGATGCCCGATACCCATAGCTAACTGCTTCCCCGTCGTCACATCACACAGAGGAGCATTTCTTCAATCTAGCTGGTCAAAAGTTGAAGCTATCTTTAGCTAAAATCTAAAATACACCAAGGAAAATTAATCTACCAGGCGTTACTGGGCAAGTTGGGGTGGTTTCATATTTTTGACCAGCTAGAATAAGAAAATACCTCACCGTGCATCATCAGGTCAAGTGAAATCTTCCCCATAACATTCAACAAAGAACACCACAGACGGATATCATGCCTTTTATATTCTAACTCCCAGGAAAGTGATACAATCAATTCACTTCCGTCTATCCGTTGCTTAAACGTGAGAAAACTTCCCTCTGTAAGTATAATCGACCACAATCGATGAGGAAAAAAAATGTTGTAAACAAAACAGAAAACAACGACTCAGCGTTTCGCTACAATTACCGACCGACGCTGAGCACGCACACTCGTCCACACTGTTAACTAATAGAGAAAATCTACAGTCCATTTGAACTTGATCTTGACGTAACGAACGAACGGTTTAGCCGTCTTTTAACAGCCAACATAGCGGCATTCTTTATTGATGCAAGCAATACGCACAAGCAGCAACCAGGGCAATCGTTTGATTGGAAAACAAATTATTTACTGCCAACGATGGATTTCGCTTTCAACATCGATGTGCTAAAGGCGGCAGAAAACTGTTCGTTTACTATGCATTTTATTTATACAATCGACGAACGGCGACGCGGCGGTTTCATTTAGTTTCAAAGTCAAATTGCCTGTTCTGTGCTAATACCGTACTTTACTGCACTCGAAATAAAATCGATTAACGCTTTCATGTTTAACTGTTTTTCCAGAAGCATACCGGCAGGCATTGATAACTTGCAAGAACTTTTTCATTTCTTTTTAATATAGAATGGTTACGTTAAATCCAATTGATTTTTTTCGTTAACTCATATTAAAATATACGCCAAATCCCATAGGTACCAAAACATCAAAAACGAAGACATATTGGATTCACACTGAATATATGAGTTTGAACAGCTGTAGAATCATATGATCGGATTTCCTCATAACAATGGAGTGGAATGTTCCAATACAGAACCTCACCAATGTAGGGGCACATTACATTTTTCTTAAAAAAAAAACAAAAACAAAAAGCATCAATATTGGTTCATTGTCAAGCTACTTTGATTGAAGTAAATTAAATCACATCAATATGTTATGCGTAGGGTAGATATACCAGTCATGGCAATACGTTCTCATTATGGTGTGTTCCAATTATGGTCTATATGAAATATGTAGGCCATAATTGGGACATACCATAGTATGAACAAATGAACAGCCATTACTGGTACACGTACCCTATAGGAATTTATTTTTGCCGCAAGAACCGCTTATTTATTCCTAGAGACATTTTGACACATACGCCATCGATCACTTGATCACGAAGTATCAATTTTGTATTTTATCACATCGCTGGTAATGCACTGTTGACGAACTAAGTTTGCAAACTTGGTTAACACATCCCAAAAGAGCTCAAAACTGGTTTCCATATCTGTATATATATATAGCCATTGCACATAAATAATAAACAATTATGTCGTAGCAAAGTAGAGAATCAAGGTGAGACACTTTTTGTCAAAGGCAACACACTGTTCATCCATCCGAGCTTTTTTTTTTGTTCCTGTCTCTAAGGTTGGAAAGCTATACTTCAAGCTCTCCATAAACAGCCATAGTGCCTATAAGATACCTACTTGAAATGTTAACCTCAAACTGGAGCAAATAGCTACGGGCTTCAAATCATAGACTGCAATAATTAACCTGCCTGCATGGATATTTGAGGGGACGGCCACAGTCAGTGCAGCAGTGTCAAATCGTTTTCTTATTGCTTCTAACCATAATTTATGCGATCTCACGTGCCTTGTTTGAGTGCGTGGTTACCTGGTCGCGTTTTTAACCAGTCGAAACCTGTTTCATGAGTATCATACCGAGTGATAACGCTCAGGCATGTTGACTTTTATTCTAAGCTGATGGGGAATGCAATCACAAGCAATTGATTCGTGCGTAGAAGGAAACGCAATAGAAATCTTGTGTTGCATTCAAAAAGGAACTAAATTTGTTAATTGAACAGTTCTAGTTAGTTATATCTTACTTATTCAAATCTCCGCAATGAATGATCTATAACGCAAAATTTAAAATGATTTAGACCTTCGAATATATCATTGGGTAGTGTTTATGATTTTCCATTTTAGCTTACCTCATACATATATTATTCTGTCAGGAAAATAAGGCTTCCTGAAACACGCACGAAGCTCAAAAGATATCCCGTTAATAGAAATGGACTGCTGTTTAGATTAGATGTAGGATAAGTGAACCAGTTCTTGGCCCAGGAGGTTCCCTTATTGGCCCTATCCTTATTTTCAATATTTTTCAGTTTTTAGCATATTTATTTCCATACAAGGTTAGAAAATACATTTTGTCATATGTCTACGTGAATGAAACCTGTTCACAGGAAACTTTGCATTACAGATCATATCAACAAATGACGAGGGGAGGATACACACAAAAATAACAATTGAGAAATGTTCTATTCATATGTCTATTTAGGATTCCTTAGCACGGATATAAAAGTTAAACTTAAACCTTTTGTCTGCACCTAGAGGTCAAGCTATCCACAAGAATCAACATGGGATCCACCAGTTTTAATTAGCTTGTCTTATTGTCAGTACAATTCCTCCTCAACATACGGATGTGTGATTAACTTACCTATCATTTTTATTTACTTATTCAAAGTCTATCTATAAGAATAACCAATTTAGAAATTGACATATATGCTAGATTGTTCTATTTTACATTTGAATCATTAATCCAGAAGTACAACGCTCAGTTAAATATCATGTATGAATATAGAAACTGTAACATTAATATTCAAAATCCATTGTTTTCTTTGCTATTTTCTATGTGAGACTTTTCAGTAGACAATAATAATAGCAATAAAAATAATAAAAATGCATCGGTAAATCTTTCAGAAAAGGATTTCTCGCATGATATTCAATTGGTTACGTTTTGCTTTTGCTTATCATATGACATCATTAATTATATACCGGAAAATACAGGGGATTGGGACGGACCACCAGTGGAGGCGTATACACGCTAACTTGAAAGTACCCATTAATGGTTGAAAAAGACCCATTTTCAAGAAAAGTGGCTTAACTCATTAAATGAAAAAATTTTTACCCATTAATGAGTATCTGTTACCCATTAATGAGTAATTGTTAATCATTAATGGGTAACAGATACTCATTAATGGGTAAAATTGTTTAATCATTAATGAGTTAAGCCATTTTTCTTCAAAATGGGTCTTTTTTTACTCATTAATGAGTACTTTCAAGTTAGCGTGTAGGTGAATTTACCTATCGATCCACCACTACCATTTTTGGCCCTTCATACAGTGAAATGTTAAGGACAACCAGAGGTGATTAAGCTTGATCAAATCAAACAGTGAGGAGCACCCACTGCTATCGGGCTTCCGTGCTGCAATGAGTGATAGACAATTTATCATACATCATATCATTGGGTCCAATAGAATATGTTTAAAAGGTTTATGGCACATCTCAGCCATATTTCTGGATAATTTCTGCCCAGTACTGTCTTTATGCTAGGAGGTAAAGCACGATGGATAGCATGTGTTGTCTAAATGAAGTTGAACAGGGGAAACCCAATTTGGGTCAAGTTGGCATAAAACCCCTTTTTTTCAATTCGTTTATTTGATAAAGCTCAACTGTCTTAATAAAACTCTACGAAGCCAAAAGTCTTTAAAATGTGGGTATGGTGATGTATGGGGCCGTTAGGAATTCTTCTGATGTTTCCTAATGAGCAAACTACCGTGTGCCTTACATACGCTCTGCTATTCTCGTGACGTCTTCAATCCGTTTAAACCTCCGTCCAGTCTACTTTTACACGAAACTCGTATAAATACCCGAGTTCCTTGGATACCGATGGTTTCTGTTTCAGGCAATCGTTTGGCCACGCTACCCTAGTAGCTAGCAATGGTCAAGTTTGGGTGCAATTCATATTAATGTCGAGATGCCACTGCCACATAAACCCTGGCCCCGATGGCCAGTTTGCTAACACCGTTGCATCACCTATTCTGAATGTCGATCTCCAGTGATACATTTCCATCTTGATGTCAATTTGCACATATGTTTCCTGTCCACAAAAGGGAAGCAAACGGGACGTGAATAATTGCCGTGGAATCACATCTTTAAGCTCAGTTTCGAAGTTATTCGAGTTAGTCATCATGGAACCGCTGCTCTCTCATTGTAAGCGGAATCTAGTGGTAATAATAACACGACATCACTTCCGTTCGTTCTACTACCACCAATGATGACCCTCGCAATACCACTCAATAGACTGATATTGATTTTACAAGCAACGGTTAAAG